TGACCTGAGCCAAAGGCAGATGCTTAAGGACTGAGCCACCCAGGCACCCCGGCGGTTAAATCTTTTAACTGTTCTTTTTAAAGATTATTTAGGCTAGGTTCTCAGTCTTTGTATGTCAGCTTTAGAATCAGCTTGTCTGTTTCTCAGAAAGCCTACTGGGCTTGTTCTAGGAATTACTTCCAGTTAGCAGTTCAGTCCAGGGAGAAGGGCCATTTTAACAACGTTGAGTCTTCTGTTCTGTGAATATAGTTTCCCTTGCTTTCTTTTGTCTTTGATTTTTCTCAGCAGTGTTTTATAGTTTTCAATACAGAGATCTTGCAAATCTTTCATTAAAATTATCACTAAAGGGGTCTGGGTGGCTCAGTCAGTTAAGCGTCTGACTCTTGATTTTGATTCAGGGTCGTGAGGTTGTGCCCTGGGTTGGGCTCCACGCCGGCCATGGAGCCTGTTTAAGATTCTCTCGCTCCCTCTCCCTCTGCCCCGCCCCCACGCACAAGTGCTCTCTCTCTCTCAAGTAAGTAAATCTTAAAAAAAAATCATCCCTAGGTATTTATGTTTTACTGATATTTTAAATGGTATTTAAGAAATTCATTTAAAAATTCTTTGTTGCTGGTATATGCAAACATAGCTCATTTTTGCTCATTGACCTCATGTCTTGTGACCTTGCTCAATTCACGTAAGTTCTAGAAGCTTCTATGCAAATTCTTCAGGATAGTGTATTAATTTGTGTATTAAATTGTGTGTCTGTGAATGAAGACGTTTTGCTTCTTCATTTCCAGTCTTTACGCTGTTCACTTATTTTTCTTGCCACGTGGTGCTGGCCAGGGCCTGTCGTAGAGCGTTGAAGGGAAGTGTGGGGGCCGGCATCCTCACCTGTCCCCACCCTTCTGGGAGGGCTCAGTCTTGCGCCAGTGGTCTGGTGGTGTCTGCGGGACCGGTACCTTCCTGTCCGTGGGGTCTCCTGACCTACGCCCTGTGTGCTGCTGAGCAGAGTTTACCGTACAGAAGTGCTTGTGAGGAGGGAAGGTGGGGACCCCTGGGCGGGTTGGTGGTTGGAGGTGGGCACTGCCCAGCTGGCCCTGGTCACTGAGACTGGGGAGGGGTGTCGTAGGGAGGGGCCGCAGAGTCTGGGGCTGGAGGGCCAATGTGTGTGTGTGTGTGTGTGTGTGTGTGTGTGTGTGTGTGTTGGGGCTGGCGGGGCACGATGAAGGAAACTGCTAACTGGACTCAGCAGCTGCTTCCTGCTCCGGCGAGGGAGTCTGGCTTGAGGACACAGGGACACAGGGACAGACGGCCCTCCCTCTTCCAGGAGACCTCCTGTCCCCACAGAGCAGAGCTGGCCGGGAGCCCGCAGGGAGCCGGCAGGCAGAGCAGAGACAGTGGGCGCGTGGGCAGCACTCCCCTCACACCCCTTTCCACCTCTTGCTTCCTCGGAGGTTTTTATCCTGTGTGGGGCTTGGGTTTGGCTTGGGTGTTTTCTGTATCTGTTGAGATGATCCTTCTACTTTCTATCCTTTAGTCTGTTAATGAGGTGAAGGACAGTGATTCATTCCTGCGATAAACTCCACGTGATTAACATGTATTGCTGACTTTAGTTTACTAGTATTTTTAGAGGATTTTTGTGTTTGTATTCATGGGGGATATTCGTGGATAGATTTCCTGTTTGATACCGACTTTGTCTTTCCAAGGCTTTATCTCCCTCTGGTTTTGGCATCAGGGTAACACTGGCCTCCTAAAACTGAAAACGATTAGTGTCATTCCTCCTTAAATGTCTGGATTCCCCAGCGAGGCTAGCTAGACCTGGAGGTCTGTTTGTGGGAAGGTGCTTGATCAGGGAATCGAGGTCTTTCGTAGGGTCGAGGCTGTTGAGATGTTTCCTTTCTTCTAGTGTCGGTTTCGCCTGCTTGTGTTTTTCCAGGAATTAGTTCATTTCATCTAAGGTGTCAGATCTCTTGGCGGGACGTTTTCCATAACGGCCCGGGTTTTCTCTGGAAGATCTGTGGTGTCGACTCCTCTCCCCTGGCCCTTTGTCAGGGTTGCATCAGGATCCAACGAGGGTTACACCTTGGGGTTGGCTGGTGTGTTTTTCTGTCCCTTTACTCTGTCGGCTCCCCTCCATCTCTCTGTTTCTTGCAGCGTGTTTGTTGAAGCAGCTTCTTGTCTTGGGCTCGGGTAGCTCGTGGTGCGGCACTTGCTAACTCCCGGGGCACACAGTGCGTGCCGAGCTCTCTGCCTGGAGTGGGTTGGTTTCCTCGGCTCCGTCCCATGTGGGCCCACTGACACCCAGGAGCTGACCCTGGCGGGGGCTCCGCACACCATGTGAGGCCCAGCGTCAGCCACAGCCTCGCGTGGTTTGTTCTGAATTAACGCCGCCCTTTTCTCTTGCGCATTTTGAGTTGAATAATGAGGATTTTTTTTGATGTTTGGGAGTTA